GGTGGGAATGGGGATGGAACACCGGGGAACAGGGTGGGAGGGGTGGGAGCGGGGTGGGAGAGAGGGGAATGGGGTGGGAGGGGTGGGAACGGGGTGGGAGAGAGGGGAATGGGGATGGAAAACCGGGGAATGGGGTGGGAGGGGTGGGAATGCGGGTGGAACATCGGGGAACGGGGTGGGAGGGACAGGAGCGGGGTGGAATACCTGGGAATGGGGATGGGAGAGAGGGGAACGGGGTGGGAGAGGGGAACAGGGATGGGAGAGGTGGGAATGGGGATGGGAAAGGTGGGAATGGGGATGGAAAACCGGGGAACGGGGTGGGAGGGATGGGAATGGGAATGGGAGAGGTGGGAATGGGGATGGAACACCTGGGAATGGGGTGGGAGGGACGGGAATGGGGATGGAACACCTGGGAATGGGAGTGGGAGAGGTGGGAATGGGGATGGAACACCTGGGAATGCGGTGGGAGGGACGGGAATGGGGATGGAACACCAGGGAATGGGGATGGAACACCTGGGAATGGGGTGGGAGAGATGGGAATGAGAGATTGGGATGGGAGAGTTGTGAAATGGGATGGGAGAGCTGGGAATTGCGATGGAGAGTTGGGAATTGGGATGGGAAATTTGGGAATTGGGATGAGAAATTTGGGAATTGGGATGGGAGACCTGGGCATAAGAAGCTGGGATGGGAGAGTTGGGAATGTTTTGTTGTGGGAACAGAGAATTGGCTGGTATTGAACGGAGAATTTGCTGGAAAATTTGGGAATATTTGACACTTGGGAATGGGGGATGTGGTGATCCCAGAGGGCTTTTCCTGCCTGAGCATTCCAGGACTCCAGGACTGGGAGGACTGGGAATATTCCATGCTGGGCAGAACCTCCTCCGTGCTGGGATGAGCTCAGCTCCCGCCTTCCTTTTCCCACCCCCTTTTCCCTCTTTTTCCTCTTTCCTTCCCTCCTTTTCCCCCTCCCTTTTTCCCGTCCTCCCCCTCCTTTCTCACTTCCTTTCCCCTCGCTCTCCCGCCTCCCCCCGTCCCGTTTTTTCCCGTTTTTCCCCGTTTTCGCCCCAGGATGATCTACAAGTGCGCCATGTGCGACACGGTGTTCACGCACAAGCCGCTGCTGTCGTCGCATTTCGACCAGCACCTGCTGCCGCAGCGCGTCAGCGTCTTCCGCTGCCCGCAGTGCCCGCTGCTCTTCGCCCAGAAGCGCACCATGCTCGAGCACCTCAAGGTCAGGCGGGAATCCAGCTGGGAACGCCGGAATTCCCGGCGGGAATGCCGGAATTCCAGCCGCTCACAGTGGGACTGTCCTCCCACTTTGGCCAAGTGGGAGTGGGGAGCGCTCGGGGCACAGAAATGCTCGAGCACCTCGAGGTCAGGCGCCAGCCCGGATGGAATTCCGGCCAAAAAAGGCAAAATTCCGGCCAAAAAAGGCAAAATTCCAGCCAAAAAAGGCAACATTCTGGCCAAAAAAGGCAAAATTCCGGCCAAAAAAGGCAAAATTCCGGACAAAAAAGGCAAAATTCCAGACAAAAAAGGCAAAATTCCGGCCAGAAAAGGCAAAATTCCGGCCAAAAAAGGCAAAATTCTGGCTAGAAAAGGCAAAATTCCGGCCAGAAAAGGCAAAATTCCGGCCAAAAAAGGCAAAATTCCGGCCAAAAAAGGCAAAATTCTGGCCAAAAAAGGCAAAATTCCGGCCAAAAAAGGCAAAA